GGGAAAGATTTGTCTGTTTTGTAAGTGTGGATGTGTCTGTGTTTTCTGATATGTCTTTAAGTTTTGTATTGGAAGCACAGAGCTGAGTAGGAAATGGGTCAGGCTCAGCTGAATGTATGAGTTATAGTAGGTTTTGTTCCTGACTGGTCTCCTTTGAGTGAATGAGCTTCCACCCCTCCCACGACTTCTTCCATGGCTGGGGCTCAGAATTTATCTCTGAGCTTTCTGGTCACTGGGTTTAGTTCAGTAGGGGTTCAAATGGCTTTTGTATATGGATAATGTTAAAAATGTTTTAAGTTTTATGCTGTTCTCACTTTATTGAAACCCTATAGGCTGAGTTTTCCTGTCCCACCAGCCAGCTCCCAAATAACCTCAGAGACTTATTACTAGTTATAAATGCTAGCCTGATAGTTTAGGCTTGTTACTAATTGGCTCTCAAAACTTAAATTAACCCATATTTCTTACCTATGCTCTATCATATGGCGGTACCTTTTTTCAGTGCAGCATGTTCATCTCCTGCTTCCTCTGAATCTGGCTGGCAACTCCTTGTGACTCTGCCCTTCTTGTCAGTGTCCTCCCAGTCTGGGTCTCCCATCTAACCTATTCCTTCCCAGCTATTGGCCAGTTGGCTCTTTATTAAACCAATGAGAGTAATGCATATTCACAGTGTGCAAAAAGATTATTCCACAGCAAAAATCTGGCTCTTGAATTGGGTTGTGGTTCTTCCCTTTTCAGACTCAGGCATGCTTTAAAAGTCTCTGTGTCCAGGATCAGAGGATCCCCCTGATACTCTAGAGGACAGGGAGAGGAGCGAAAAGCAGAATAACTAAAAAAGATGATTGGTTTCATTTAATTGCCTAAGACATTTGCTAAGATATAACCCTTATCTCAAGATTGGTAAGTTTACTGCATATGGTAAAAATCTGTAATATCTGTAACAAAAAAGTTAACTTGGTAACTCAGCATTGATAGTTAAAAAAAAAAAAAACTATGTGTAGGAAATCTTAAAGGAACCATAGGGCACGATGCCATTTGGGGACATAAGCAACTTGTGACTTCACCACCATCATTAGGTAGCAATATGGCTGGCAACCATCTTTGCTAGGGTTGGAGAAGATGAATGTCATGTGATTTCACCACTGTCTTGATTAGAGATGATCACATGATGTGAGCCAACCAAGGAAGCAACAATAGTTTCCAAGATATTTCATAATAGGATGGATTTTTGTATGGCAATTCCTGTCTTGAAAACAAGGTTTATGAAAGATAGGACTTAAAAACAAAGCTTGTTTAATAAGGTATTAGAGCCAAGAATGCACTCATGCTAACAGCCAAACTTTAAAATGTAAGAATCACCCAAGTGGTACTGGTTTTAAAGATATGAAGGAATCATGCAGAGCAGCTGAGAGTTGGCACAGTGTGGTGGGGCTGGAATTCCTAAAGACATCCCAGTTGCTATGGGGACCAGGAAAGTAAAGTTGCCAGTCTCCCTATGGGCTGCATTCATTATTTAAAATTTAATTTTGATACTAAAAGGAACTTCAATTCAGAAACTGCCCCCCCCCACTGAAGGCTCAAACTTAAGACAGATAAAGCTGCAAGTTCCAGTCTTAAAAAAGCTGCTAACACACTGTAAATGGTTAGACATAATTAAGACATGCAAGTCAATAATCGGTTGCCTAATAAAGGATCAAATTCTTTAATATGTTCATAACTATACTTGCAGTCATGTTAAGTATTAATGTAATTAATTACAGAAATAAGCCTTATTTAGCCTCTTGCCTATGTTTTCAAGATTAAACCTAAAGCAAGTAACTAAAAACAAGCAAATATTGCTTAGCTCAGATATACTTAATAGAAAATGGTCCTCAAACTTGTCAGAGATCTGCTGAATATGACATTTTAAGTGTTTAATGGAAAAAAAAAAACCTTAGTATTGTAGTTGGAAGTTTTCCTGTGTCTTACCTGGTCCCTCAGACACTCAGACCCAAGTAAACACACAGAGGCTTATATTCCTTTCAAATTGTATGGCCTAATGGCTCAGGATTCTCACTAGCTAGCTAGATCTTACAACTTAACTCAGCCTATTTCCATTAATCTATGCATTGTCACGTGGCTTCGTGGCTTACAGGTACTTTCACATCTTTCTTCTCCTGGCAGCAGCTTGCAGCATTTCCCCACTCTCCTTTCTAGACTTCTCTCTCTCCAGTTTGAATGTACCACCTAACCTTATTCTGCCTCACCATTGGCCAAACAGTTTTATTTATCAGCCAATCAGAGCAACACATATTCACATACAAAAAGATATCCACAGCATGCTATGACAGACAGACCTCAGGTCCTAATGGTGACCATAAGGTCTCCAAAGAAGATGATGGTGCACCATGACTCCACCTGGATTGTGGTCACACTAACCACTGGAAAAAGATGCCCCAATTTCTAGATACCACTAGGACCCTGCCCAAATTGTGGATAAAGATACTAGAGAGTTGATTGCCCTGCTTTGCCTAGACAAAGCAAGTCCTCCTAGTTCCTCCTCCACAGAAATGTCATTCAGATCTTCTAAACTTGGCAGCTGAAGATTGATCCTTCCCTGGGATCTCTGCCCCCTAAGAAAGCCATCAACAACACAAGAGCCTAGGATGACCATCTAGATGATGGATAAGTCTCTGTCCTTTTAGTTGATACATAGGCCATTTAGGTTATACTTCCTGCTATAATTTATCTTTCTCCAATCTATGATGGCACTGACAACTAGGCTAACTGTAACTTTGTGAGTTTAACAACAGTAGGCAATCAGCTCATTTCCTAAGGCTGTAGCCACCTTGTAAGTTCATTTCATATGTAAAAATTAGATGCTTTTTCTAGAGCTACTAGGTCTCCTGATGAGAAAGGCAAATAGGTTTGACTTGCTAACAGGCTTCATATTAAAATATAATATGGGTTTTAGATGTTAATTTTACTGTTTCTTTTTTTAATGGACCTTGCTTTGCAGTGACTGTTCTCAGTAATAACTACTCGTCTCTCTGACAAATGATTAGATGGGGGGGAAAAAGGCTTGAAATCTATGCAGGGGTATAAGAAAATAAGTTAAGGTATGTGAATAATAGAAAATGTTTGAGATTTCTTTCCCTCATCTAAGCTATTGTTATACTGAGATTTTTCACAGCTATCTGATACCTGCTTTTTCTATAGTGTGGATTTTAGTACAGAGTGCAAACAATGATAATAGTAATATATCTAAAACTTTTGTCTCTGTTTTCAAACCAAAAATTTCATATAATCTTCAGGGAATTGGGTAAATCATAAGACTTTTATCCACCTCTCACAGGTTAAATGGACTCCAGGTAAGTACAGCCTAAATTTCTTCACCGAGAAGGGGGGTGCTCTCTCTTTCTCTCTCTCCCTTGGTTTTGGGTTCCTCCCCTCCCTCAACTATCGGGATAATGGCCCTGTGTGGTGGTATTGTGCTCCCCAAAATATTGTGCACTCTAATAAACTTATCTGGGGTCAGAGACAGAACAGCCACAATATTAAACATAGAGGATAGGCAGTGGTAGCACACGCCTTTAATCCTAGCATTCCAGAGGCAGAAATCCATCTGTTCAAGGATACAGCTAAGCATGGTGACTCACGCTTTTAATCCCAGAAAGTGAGCCTTTAATCCCAGGGAGTGATGGTAGAAAGGAAAGATATATAAGGCGTGAAGACCAGAAACTAGCAGCTTTTGGCTGGTTAAGATTTTAGGCTTTGAGCAGCACAGTTCAGCTGAGATTCATTCTGGATGAGGACTTAGAGGCTTCCAGTCTGAAGAAACAGGATCAGCTGAGGAACTGGCGAGGTGAGGTGGCTGTGGCCTATTCTGTCCCTCTGATCATTCAGCATTCAGCCCAATAACTGGCCTCAGGTTTGATTTTTTATTAATAAGAACTTCTAAGATTCCTGCTACAGCCCTGTAAGTTCCAAATGTAAGATTTTCTATTAAGTTTAAACATTAATTTCTGTCCCTAGTCTATATTTGTCTCAGCAGATTTCCACTTAGCTAACAGACACCATCTAGAAATCAACTACAGACTACAAACTGCTGAGCTTTGGACTTGCTGAAAGCTAATGTGACCAGTCCAGGGGATATAACTGCTCCCTGTATCTTCAGCTTGGTCAGCAAACCAGATGCTTCTGATGAATGTCCCATTGCCTGAACCCCCCACCCACAGATTTTGACTAGAATTCTAGCCTTACTGGGTCCTGACAATGATGTCCTAATTTCAGTAGGAAACTGTCCTCAACAGGTTGGACTATTAGATCAAAGGAAACTGTCTGGCATATGGAGGTAAAATAGCTACCTATAGTGCCTATTGGAATACCAGGAATGGTACCTCTTAAAATCAAATAGGCCCAGATGAAAAATGACTAGTTCCCATTCTTGTAGGAACTCTGATGTCAGCCATCACAGAGCCAGAGTCAAGGATTTAACTCAGGATACAACTCCAGGGGAATGTAAGTACTAAAATTAACCTATAAGCCCCACTTGCCAAGGTCAGACAATTGCCTGGAATTTGGGGGGTGGGGAATGGGGGCTGTGGTTCTTGTGAGATAACAAATCATGTGTTTTCACTTTAATAAACAAAGTTGGTTGCCCCTACTGCACAGAATGTTGGGATACACATAGGTGGGAGATATGTAGGCAGGAAGTACATCAGAATGTATGTGTACCCCTAGTTGGGCCAAGGTGGGAAGTACCATAGCTTTGTCGAGGTTTGCTTGTATAAACACACCAAGAGGAAGAATGTTAAATTGAGACAAAAAAAAATTTGATCAGGTTAAGGGCTAGAGATTCTGTAAGGAGCTAGAGGAAGTAAATCAAGCTTATTGTGAGTCCATCCTAAGTGCATGCTTTGAAGTAAGGGGGCAATGAGGTGAAGCCACAAAATGAAGGGACTGGGAAAACAGAAATCCCCAGGCATTAAACAGCAGGCAGCATCGTCTGATGTGAGGTTTAGAGTAGCTGTATTGAGAGTGGATGTCACAGTGTGTCTCAGTGCCATCCCAATACTGAGGATGGATTGTCATGGTATGTCTCAGTGCCATCCCGATACTAAAAATATAAGTGAACAAAAAAGGCTCTCCTTGAAAACCAGAACAATAACCTGAGTACAAAGATAATACAAATAAGTCAAAAGTAATCCAATTTGTAAAACTTAAGTGAAGCTTTGAATACCAAGGGAGAGAGGAGAGCAAAGTCGTGGCAGACTCCAAGGTCTCAGCTTACCTAGTACAGGCAGGCTTCCGAAATCTAATGGATAGGTAACTTTAGTAACATGGAAGATGGACAGCCCCCGAGATGTCCCATGGACAGTCATTTAATAAGGTCCAGTTTGGAGATAATAAATTGATGACATTATGAAGGGGATGAGTTCAATCATCAGTTGTATATATTAGCTGATCCAGGCAAAACTCTGGGGAATCTCCATGTTTATGAGAGCAGAGGAGAAAACCCATGCTGGAAAAGCTGCAGTGACAGGCAGAAGTGGGCCATAGACACCAGGCTAACATTTCAAGATGAAAGGATTGGTTAATATCAAGTCGAGCTGTAGAGAGCTCCAAAAATCTAGATAGTCAGCCGCTGGTGGCTTGATGAAAACATTTTACTGAAATAGTAAAGCAGAAACCAGATTTTATAGGAACTTGAAATAGGAGGTAGAAAGTGGAAAACACATTTACTGAAATTTTTTCAGGAAGTTTTTCTTAAAAGAGGTGGGAGAAGCTGAACAGAAACCAAAAGCCACATGTGGTTACAGGAACATTTTTTTGTAGCTCCTGCAGGTTTGGTCATGATAGAAAGAGAGTGAGAAAAGAGATAGAAGAAAAAAAAGAAGGGGTCTCCTTGGAAAAATTTAAAAAGCTGAAATTCAAACTACAGATGAGGGGATTTGATTTAGACAGAAAAGAGAGGTGGCTTTATTCACAGTAAGCACAGGAAAAATAACAAGCAGCCAGCTTTGCAAACTAAGTGGTAAAAAGTTCCAGAAACCCTCTAACAGTCTCCTTTATTCTTAAAGTAAAATGAGATATTTTGCAAGAGGTTAGCAGATTGAAGAAAGGTTTCCTCTTAGGCAACTGCTGTGAAGAATGATGATGAGATATTGTGTCAGTGACAGGGATGACCTCAGGGCTCAGTTGAGACTGACTGGGTGTTCACATTTGTAGACACATATTTACACATTATTAGAATCACCGTGTACTCAAGAGACAGAGGCAGGAGGATAATCGTGAATTTGAGGCCAGCCTGATCTGCATGAGTTCCAGAACATGCCAAGGCTACACAGTGAGAACTTATTTGGGGAAAAATACATATCTCCATAGTAGCTGATTCTTTTCTAGTAAAAGAAATACCTATGATCATTCAAACATTGTCCTCTGTAGATGAATCTTGACAAATCCAGTAATTGTGAATAAAACACTTTTCAGAAAAAACACCCTTCTTTGTTATCAGGGCACAGGCTTCATCTTCAACCTGGCCTGTGACTTGAAATCTGCAGAGGAAAAGGCCACACATTAGTGACTCACAGGAGGGCAGGGCTCCACCCCAGATACTCACCCTCTGCCACAGTCTATGAGTGTTTTATGTTTTCCTTCTCCTCCAAGGTAGACACTTCAGATATTGCAACATTCAGACAGCAAATGAACTTTTCAAAACTAGAGCCAGATACCCTGGAGTGCTGAGCTGCTGTGAAATAATCTTTTTGTACACTGTAAAGATGTCTTGCTCTCTTTGGTTTAATAAATAGCTAGACAGGAAGAGGTTAGGCAGGACTTGCAAAGAGGGAGAAAGTGCTGATGTAAAGAAGGGCAGAGTCATCAGGAAACATAAAGAGAAGCAATATGAATATTGCCATAGTGAGGAAAGGTACCGAGCCACATAGTAGAGCATAGATAAAAAGTATGGGTTAATAAGGTGTAAGAGCTAGTTAGTAACAAGACTAAGCTGTAAGCCAAGCATTTATAATTAATAATAAGTCTCTGTGTGGTTATTTGGGAGCTGGCCAGTGGGACAGAAAATTCTGTCTACACTGAGCAGCACAACAGAAGTAATAAGAAAGGCCCGGCCTCAACATAGGAGAAACAACTAATAGTTGTCCTTTGTGCATGGATGGCCCACTGCAGCATGCATGCATGAACCATACACACACACACACAAAAAAACACTGTAAGTAAAAACATATTTTGCAAATAAATAGTAAATCAAATTATGAAACCTTTTCGTCTTCCAGACTCAAATCCCAAATGTCACACATTCAAAACACCTTCCCTCACTGCTATGAAATAAATTTCCTTGATTCTATTAGTAGTAACTAAAACATAAGCCAACTCTTTGGTATATTATGAGCTTGCTAAAGATAGAAAATACCAACTCCAGTCAGGGAGGAGGGCAGAGTTAAGTGAAGAAACTTCCCCCATGCCTTTGTTCCACAGTGTTCAGACCAATCTTTCCTGTCTTAGATAAACACGGGACAACACAATTTCATAAGCATGGAAGCTAATCTTGGCTATCAACTTGACACATCTGGTAAGAGGGAACCCCAACTGAAGAGCTGCCTCCAGAAGAATGGCCTGTGCCCTGTTTATGGAGGAGTTTCCTGGTGGCTGGAGGAGGGCCTAGCCCACTGTGAGTGGTGCCGTCCCTGGGTAGGTGGTCCTGGGTGCATAAGAAGGTAGCTGAGTAAGCCATAGAGGACAAACCATTTCCTCAATGGCCTCTGCTTCAGTTCCTTTCTCCAAATTCCTGCCCTGCATGATTGAACTCCTCCCTTGGCTTCTCTCAATGACGGATTTGTTTGGGAAGTGTAAGCCAAATAAACCCTATCCTCCCCAAGTTGCTTTTGGTTATAATGTTTATCACTACAAGAGAATGAAAACTAGGATATGTTGATTATAATTTTCCATTTCTAACTTCTGTATCATTAAATTCAATGGAGGTCTAAATAGGACCATATATTATTTTAGGAGCCTCTGGTTCTCTAAGACAATTTTTATGAACTTTTGTAAATTAAACAGGTATCAAACTTTTCAGTCCTACAATCACCTGACCACTTGAGGCTCCCAAGAGCTACCAGTAGGGGGTGGTCTATGGAGGTCTCATATTTCCCCAGTGTTATATAGACACCAAACACTCACAGATGTGGGTGTAATGGTGTGCCATCCAGCCAGGTCCATGTTTTCTGTGTGTCTGTAACATTCAATCCAATCCAAAAGTAAACTCCATCATGTATTTTACTCTGGATGAAATCCTGAGAAAAGAGACCCAGAGGAAATCATCTGGATATCAGCTATGAAGAGAGACACTGCTGGTTTCTTACATACAAACCTAAAAGGATTCTGATGCTCATATTTCTAGCCAGGGAGGTTGCAAGAAGTCTTCTGTATATTTAGAAAAAGAAACTGTGTGGGAAGGTTTTCCAACTGTGTGGCTTGTCTATACATTCCGTTTGATGGAATTGAGGACGATACAAATAGCAGTCTATGAAAAGGTACAGAGGAGACAAAAGCAGGAATGGGACTGCCTAGAGGTGACTTGAAATGGGTTAAGAGACATGTGAATCAAAACTAAACATCTGTTCTAACTAAAACATCTTCCTCATTACCAAGATTCTTGACAGACTGCCGGGAATTGGCAATGTTTTGCATTTTATTTATTTGGTTATAAGTTTCTGAGACATGATCTCATGGTATAGTCCAGGCTAGACTCAAACTCACCTATCCTATTGCCTCAGCCTCCCAAATTCTGGGATCGCAGATGAGCACTACCATAGCTGGTTAAATTGGGAATGTTTTGATGGGTCCTTCAAACTTCTCTCTTCCTCCATGCAGAAGCTCAGTATTGATAGTAAATTATCCTAAGAACCTGACTGTGCCACTTATCTGTAGAGTAACATAGCCGAATTATGCCCCTGGAGAAATTGTATAATATCCCCTGTGGCTATAGGGAAAATTCTGTCTCACAAGTTTAATCTTAGAGGTAATTAAGATTATAGTTGTAAATTGCATTGCCTAGTGCTTAACACATGACTGACATTCAAGAAATGACAGCAATTAACAGTAGAATAATTGTGTTATCATGAAGTGTACCCACATCTCCTGGTTTTTAGAAAGGACTAAGTTTCATGAGATTAGCTCTTACCAGTTCTGCCTTGTCTTGGATCACTAAGAGACGTGATTTCCTTACTGCACAGGATATTTTACTATCAATCCATGACGTAAAGTTCATGTAAAACTTGTAACATTTCCCTTGTTTCTGGAACCAGTCATCAGGGCATGATTTTCCTGAAAGAAAAAAAAAACCAATATGGGAAGAAATAGAGAGGAGAAAGAAGTTTTAAGACCAAAAGCAATTGTTGCATTGTTTTTAAACTTCAAAAAAAAAAAATAGGTCAGCAGAAATGGCTCAGTGGTTAAGAGCACTTGCTGCTTTTGCAGAGGACTCAGATGCAGTACCCTCTACCTATGCAGCAGCTGTAACTCCAGTTCCAGGGGACCCGATGCTCTTTTCTGGCCTGTGTAGCCATGAACATATGTGGTGCACAGACGTGCAGACAAAAGACTCATACACATAAAATAAGAATAAAGATTTTTTTTTAAAAAAAGTAACAACATTGCCTCACTTTTAGGGAACCAACTCCCTTCTCTCTTTCCATTAATGAAAAGTCCATAGAAGAGGCAAATGCTAACACATTCACAGTTTTTGGGTTTTTTTTTTTAAAGGCTATACCAAACTTGTAAATTTCTGTATTGGTTTTATTTTTTTAATGTATTTTATAATTTGATTTAATTTTACATATCAGCCACAGATTCTCCTGTCCTCCCTCCTCCCACCCCCCCAAGACTCCTCCCAGCCCACCCACCCCCCATTCCATATCCTCCAGGGCAAGGACTTCCCTGGGGATTCAGCTCATCCTGGTAGATTCAGTCCAGGCAGGTCCAGTCCCCTCCTCCCAGGCTGAGCAAAGTGTCCCTGCATAAGCCCCAGGTTCCAAACAGCCAGCTCATGCACTGAGGGCAGGTCCTGGTCCCACTGCCTGGATGCCTCCCAAACAGTTCAAGCTAATTAACTGTCTCACTTAACCAGAGGGCCTGATCCAGTTGGGGGCTCCTCAGCTCTTGGTTCATAGTTCATGTGTTTCCATTCGTTTTGCTATTTGTTTGCTATTTGTCCCTGTGCTTTTTCCAATCTTGGTCTCAACAATTCTCAATCATACAAACCCTCCTCTTTCTCGCCAATTGGACTCCTGGAGCTCTACCTGGGGCCTGGCCGTGGATCTCTGCATCCGCTTCCATCAGTCATTATTTATTGAAACTACATGTAAATATATATATATATATATATTTTTTTTTCTTTTCCTAAATTCCAAAAACATATAAATGTATAAAATATTTTCCTTACAAAACACTTAAGACAGGTACAAAGTTATTAACTTCATATTCCTCATTGTATAAAGACAGTTAAACTTAATAAAATACAGAGAAACTAAAGTTTATATAACTGACTCAGGGTTATACACATGATTAGTGGTGGGCAGAATGAAAATTAAAGCAACAGCAGTGTATCCGAGCAGACTGCAGAATAGATCACTGGTGGCCTCCAAGACATACGGGGGTAAATTCTCTACAACTCACGCTCTGTCTTAAACGTAGCTGTTTTAAAACAGTGGCCAGAGGATGAAGTGTGTCTTCTACCATTTAACAACCAAGATCTGATAAATTCACCTAGATATATATTTATTTACTTATTTAGTGTGTGTGTGTGTGTGTGTGTGTGTGTGTGTGTGTGTGTGTGTGTGTGTGTGTTGCGTGTATGCCTACTCCACAGCCCACATATGGAGGAATCAGTTCTCTCTTCCACGTGGGTCCCAGGGATGAAACTCAGGCTGTCAGGCTAGGTGGCCAGTGCCTTGTCTGTTGAGCTATGTGGTCAGTCAGGAAGAACAACTTTTAAAAGCAGAATTCATAAAAAACATTTTAATCTCTTTACAATAGACAATCACAGTCCATGAGGTTTTGAAGTAATGATCCAAGAGTGTTTAAAAAGAGACATGTGGGCTAGAACTGAAAAGTGCTAAGGAAGCGGTTATTCTCAAAATTCTCTTTCAGCACAGAAAGTATCTCTTCGTACACTGCAAGAACATTGTAATATAGTTTAGCCTCAGTGACCACTAGATTTATCTCCTTGAAAAGGAAAATTTGAGTATTAAATTAAACCAATATTCAGAAATTAGTATATATGTTTTAACTGAAATAATTATTTATGCCTTCAACTTAGTTGCAGATATATATAACTGTATTTTACTTAAATTTTAGTTAGTTTTATTATCTAAGTAGTGAATATTTTTAAATATTCACAAATATTTTAAAATACTTGGTACATATCAAAGAGGATTAATGTGAAAATAGAATCTGCCAAAAAATTTTTTTGAAAATAAACTCTATACAAAAGCTAGCTATTGAGACTGGGAAGTTTTATACATATATATATATATATATTATATATATAATATTATATCTATATTTATATTGTTTTTGCTTGTGTTTTTGACACAAGATCTCCCTGTGTAGCTCAGGGTGGCACAGGACATTGATGATGCTCCTGCCTCAGCCTCTTGAATGCTAAAGAAATCTGTAACTGTCATAAGGGGCTTTGGGGGCCAGCAACATGCCTCAGTGGGTAAAAGTGCCTGCCACTAAACATTCCAATCTGAAAGAATAAAACAAAAAACCAACAATTCCATAGCTTATCTTTGGACCTCTACAAGTACATCTTGCCACATGCATCCACACACATACATACATACATGCACACACAAAATTTTAATTAAGATAAAAATGAAGGATTTTCTCCCTCCTCTGATCTCAGGAATCTAGGTGAAGAAGTTGGTAAGCTAGCCTCTTCTTTTCTTAGTTCCCAGGTGCATTCTAATAACTTTTCTTCCATGAGCTTGTCTTTTGTCAGCTTAATTTGCTTGGCCCCAATACCAAGAGCTGAAAGGATCGAGAAAAAGATTCCCTTCCTTAAGACACAGTGACTTGGACCACTTACCTGTGGAGTCTATTTTGTCCTGCTGTTGTTTCCCGGGAGAAATATCCATACAGCCGCAACATCTGCTTTCATTATTACCAAGTATCCCCTTGTTGTGCTTATCGCTTAAGGAATGTACACTCAGATGACTGACTGAAGAGTAAAAAAATCAGAATGCTAATTATATTTCTACATATACAAGCCTGCACTCCTTTATTTAAATAAAATTGTTATGGGATACACAAACTGCTAGTCAAGAAGGGATCTGATCAATAATATCTCCACCTTTTAATTTTACAAAGGAGATGAGAAGGTTTCTCCCTACCAAGACCTATATAGAGACACAAAATAATATTATCTAAATCAAATTTTAAAAGATAAAACTTTTCTTTATTCATATTAAAGATTAAGACAGTCAGTTAAATTTTCCTTATGTTTATTAAAATTTCCTAATGTGATGGATTGGAATTGTATGTGAGCTTAAAGCTAGTCATAGGATCATTATACTGCTCAGTGTTTTCACCATGAACCAAAAAGAAAGCACTTCATAAACTCTAGGGTTCTTTGGAGACTTAAACATACTGTAAATCAGTTATTTACCGTAATTCCTAACACATGGTAACTGCAAATGGAAGAAATAACAAGCACAATTGTGTATTTTTATTTGTGTGCTGTTGACTTTAGCAATAGACCTTGGATTTAATTTGGACCTAACTTCTCAACCAGCTGATAAGTTTTATTCCATTTCAAAACATCTAATTTTGTAATATACTTAAAGGATAAAGCTTACTTCGATAAAACCTTAGCTCTCTCACTAAAATCTACAACTTCATCTCCTAGAAGAGTTAGATCCAAATTCAAGTATTTAGCAATCAGTTAAAATTAAGGCAGGATAGATTTTCAAATTAACATACACATAGGGTATCATTAGTGATCACAGTAGGATCATTTCATGTCAACGGAACTAAAATAATGATGGAAACCAGCATAGGATAACATGCAAAGTGATTCTGTAACTCTGGAGAGAGCCGGAGAAACTCTTCAGGAAACACTGTGGTCTCCACATCTGGGCAGGTAGTTTTCAACACACTCACCATGGATGGCTAATCCTATCACCGTGGCCACCAAGAAAACCAGTGTAATACTGGCCAGTCTCAGAGCTGTCTGATGCCATCTTGGACACTCTGGGTAATCTGTAATGATTGAATGTTCTTCTATAACACTTAAAATATATTCATAAATGTGTCATAACAATAGAAAATCCTGAGAGTACACACTGTCTTAAGACAAGAAAGGAACCTATAATCTTTTAAGTGGTGAGGTAAATGGGTGTGGTGACTCAAATCTGTAAACCCAGCATTCAGGAGGTTCAGGCAGGAGCATGGCCATGTGTTCATGGCCAGCCTGGGATAACAGAGTGAGGCTGTCTCAGGTGAGCAAACAACAAAGAAGTTCCCACCCAAAATTATCTGAGATGAATATAAACTGATCTTGAAAATTTAGACTGATTGAGTCCAAGAGATCAACATACTTTGTTTACCATCATTAAATAAGCTTCTTACGCTGGCAATTTCATTCTAAAGTCACACATCAGAGAGCAAAGTAAGTTGTTTAGCTTTCATTTGCACAGTGATCGACTTACTCAGATAAAATCACAAGAAACTGAGTCCCGGGAAGAAACACACAAGAAATGCCAAAATAACTGAGTGAAAGTAAAAAAATAAAAATAAAAACACAATTGTCTGAGGAGGTACATGAGCAAAACTAATTTTAATCATCTTCTGAAAAACAAAATACATTTATATTGATTTATGAAACAAAACTCAGGTGTTAATCATTATAATTGTATATTTTACTTTAATAAATAAAAAATTCCCTTAATCTTCAACTCAGGAAAAAACTAACTCATTACACTCACTCTAAGTATATTTACAAATATATTTTATGTGCCAAGAATTAGGCTGCTATACAGTTATAGGTATAGATAACTACACACTCTTGTAGGTAGGTAAATAGTTGTAAATAGATCATTGCAAAATAGGTAACAAAATTCTTAAGATGAAGTTAGTTTAACTTCTAATTATTAACACTGAAAGTAGAGTTAAATTTCCCCACTAACTTTCTAGGCATCTAGCCAGTCATCAAATATAGGATTCTAGATTCCTACCTTTGTATGTCCATTTGTGTTGGCAGTAATAGGAACGTTTTCTAGGCTTCTTTACAGTTACTCTTTCTGCGTCTCGCATCTGTCCAACCATCCTATAAATAGAATAATCCATTTTTGAAGGAAACAGAGACATCACCTAACCAAAAAAGTGCATATAAAATTGTAGCGCTGAAACACAGCCTATCACTGCAAAGCCACAAAGGATATGGTCTCAGAAGTAGAGGGGAATCTGTGCTTTAAACCACAGAGTTTCTTTAAGCATAGATTCTAGAGTTGCAGAAAATTGCTGAAAGCTCTTGTGTAGCTAATACTCAGCTTTCTCTGTTGATATCTTATTTATTTTCTTTCCTTATGAAGACAGACAGACAGATGTGGAGAAAATAGAAAGGAACAACAGATATGACATTTTTATGACAAATTAATGACTCAATATTGATGGTTATTCCTAATTAATCCCTTGTCCAGATTTTGCCTGTTCCCTGCATTTGAAGACCCTGGTGCCATACATAGCAAGGTAGAGTGTGTTTATTACTCCTACCTCTTTGGGACACTCTTGGATCTGTAAGTTTCTTATTCCTTCCTCATTTTTGACTATCTTGAAAGTTTTGAAAAATGCTGATAACGTATTTCATAGAACATTCCCGACTTGAAATAGTCTGATATTTTTCTCACAGAGTTTTGGATGAAGATCAAAAAGGTGAATTGTCATTCTCACCATATCCTGTAGAGGGCGCCAATCACCAGCATAAATATCTCTGCATCTATTAATTAGACAGCACTTGTCAGGTGGGTTTCTTAAAAAGTTCCTCTATCCACCCTGTTTGAGGGAATTATAAAAAGAAAATCTGTAAGCATTCACGTGACGGCTTTCATAAAGCTTAGATTTTAAAATGAGAAGGCTGATTCCAGAATCATACCTCAGACTGTCCAGCTTTATACAAAACTGTAAAACTATCTTTCAAAGCAGCTGTTCCTTTCTCAACTGCCAGCATGAATGAAGAGCCCCAGTACATCATCACTTGATTTCGAGAACTTTAATGTTAGCATTCTATAGGCATCTGCTGACATCTCACATCTCAATGCTCATTTTATTTGTATTCCCCTTTTGCTAATGTTTATGTGCTAATTGCCCTCCTATACATCTCCTTTGATAGATCTATTTGGACTATAGGTTCAGATCTCACTTGGGCTGTGTCCTTACCTACCATAATACATCATTTTATTGATTGTATTTTGCAAATTTGCACTACCAATTTGCAGAATGTGTTTTCAATATCTTTAAACTGTCTTGTACAGCAGTGGTTTTTTTTTTTTGATTCAAGTAAACACAACTTCCTTTTTTTTTTCATGGATTGAGTTTTAGGCATTGTATGCAAAACTTGTTTTCCAAATCAAGGTTATAAAAATCATCACTTGTATTTGCTTCTGAGAGTTTTATAATTCGTTTCTATATTTGGTTTTTTGTTTAAAAATTAATTTTTGTTTAAAGTGCAGAATTTTATAAGTTCTTTAAAATTTCATACATTGAAATCTAATTTTTCTAACACTACTTTTTGCTATGCTCAGATCATGAGGACCCCCAAAAGACCACCATGAAGACTGAATCCCATGTGTAAAAGCAAAGAGCCTTTATTTCAAGCTCAGAACTTGGTCTCTGTATCTGTCCAACACAGCAGTGTGAGCAGAGAGTTCTGAGCCCGAGCAAGATGGGGTTTTTATCATAGCAGAAGTTGGGGTAAGGGGATTTCTAGGGTACAGGACCCTGATTGGCTGACATTTTTTTGTCTAGAGGTGCTTGGAAGTTTTGGAATGTCAGGTACTTCCCCTTAGATCCAGGCCCTTCATGGATGAGGTCAGCTTATGGTTTTTCCTGGATCCAGATATTGCCTGCCAGTAAGCCTATCACAGAAGCTGTGTCTGAGTCTCTAAGCATGTCATGGCAGCTGCATGGTCTAGCTGTTTTGGGCCCCCAAACACTTATCATACATATATGTCTATGTGTGTGTTTGTGTGTGCACACACATAGGAGTGTACATCATGTCTGGTTAGCCATTGAGAGGCTTTGTATTGTGGAAATTCTTTTGTACAATATGAATATGTATTACTCTCATTGGTTAATAAAGAGCTGACTTGCCAATAGCTAGATAGGATGTTTAAGTCAGAGGAATGCTGGGAAGAAGAAAGGCAGAGTCTCTGGGGTCAGGAGGAGATGCAGAGAGAAGCAAGATGAACTTACTATGTTAAAAAAAAAAAAGGTACCACTATATGGCAGAGCATAAATAAGAAATACAGGTTAATTTAAATTGTAAGAGCTAGTTATTAATAAGCCTGAGGTATTTGTTATTTATTAAGTGGCACTGTTTACTACATGAGAGAAGCCACAAGGCACAACAAAAACCACTATAAGAGTTTATTAAGGGAAGGGAATAGAATGGGTGTGCATAGGCCTATGGAATGACTGTGCAGGAAGAGAAGGAAGGAATAGGTGGAACCCACTTTTATAGGTCCCTCCAAACATGCACATATGAGCTTACATAGCTATGCTGTGCATGCACATAGATTACATGATCACGCTGCACACAGATTACATGATCACACAGTGCATGGATTACATAGGACATAAAGCCCTGGGATGACTAAGCATCTTGCCTGGCTACTCGACAGCAGATGTGTGGTCATGTAGCTTGGGGAGTGGCTAGGAATTCTAACAGTATTGGCCAAGCATTTATAATTAATATTAAGTCTCTGTGTGATTATTTGGAAGCTGGCTCACGGGACAGGAAAAGTCCATTGACATATGGTGCCCAACATTAGGCAACTTAGATCCACATGAAACCTGAGAAAGCTTAAGAAAAGGTTCCAAGCACACAAAAATAGAGCCAAACATGGCTTCTTAGTCTCACAATCTCGTGTCAGCTGCAATACAAAGACACATCTTCCAGCAGCTGCCTGCAGGACGGACAGCCACCAGCTACCATGAGCTACCATCATACACTAAGCTGAACAGTACAGGCATCTGACATAGCCGTTTAAGATTCATCTGATGTGATCAAAGGACAATACAGATGTTCAGTAAAGACAGATCCAGACAAAGGAAACCTCTAAATGTGTTACAGTGGGTTTAAAAATATAAATAGGCTTAGGAGAGAAAAGAAAAAGCATATATACAATCAAATTAAAGGATAGAATATATACAATCAAATTTAAAAAGAATAAAATAATAAAAAAAACATAATAAGCTATGTAAACATGGGAAATACACAGAGTCTGGATCCTGTATGTTATTGTGTTCTCTCTAAATTTTTTGACTGCTAATGAACAAATGACATTTGCTAAGACACATCAGATTATAGAGGCTCCTAGATTAAAGCAACCTATATATCCTAAAAATATCTTGACTTCAAAATGGAAGTCAAAAGGCATGTTGCTTTGGATAAGAGGTTATGCTTTTATTTCCACAGGAAATGAGAGGCTATGAACTCATTCCAAGTTGATACAGATGAGGGGAATACTCCATGAAAATCATGACTACAGATACAAAGAAATAAACCTAAAAAAACCTACAAGACAAATAGCATATATTTTACCTGCTTAAATACAAAACAAAAAAAAATCATCTTTAACTGACTTGTGCACACCACATATTCCACACTTATAATGTATGTTACCTTTTAAGGTTTATGTATTTTCAGAACAAGGGGACCAAAAACCAATAAAAATGAAAGGCCCAGATGATCCAACACCTCAAAATGTCTGTTATAGTTTGTGAGTTCTGCATCCAGAACAATTTAATTAATCCTGATTTTCTCAAGGTTCCCCCAAAGATTCCAGTGCCCCCAGACAACAGGAAGAAATCTAGAAAAAACAATGCCCACATTCCCAAAAGATGGGTTATGGCTATTTGTTATCATTTAAGAGGGGTTGGTTACAAGTTGTTATTGGTCACAAAAAAAAAACTAAATAAAAGAATTAAATTCAAAGATCTCTTTCTAAAGGAAAAAAGGGGGATAGGGTATAAAAATGATGAAATAAAATGGTAGATTATTGAATCTACTTTAATCCAAAAAAAGCTATTAATCTCAAAATATTTTACTTGGTATGGATTTTGGTATATTGATACAAATTTAAAGTTAATTTTGTTATACTGTGTATATGCTTCTACTCTTGCTTGGGGTATTGTGCTTATGCAGCTCATTTAAAAATATAATGTATAATTAAAAATATAGATTAGTAGTTATTTATATATTATAATCAAACTTGTAGTCATATTAGGTATGTTTTCAATGTTAAACAGATATATTTAGATAGATGGTCTTCAAATACTTCAAAGGCCTACAGAGTATGGCATTTAGTATGTTTAATAACCTAAGGCTTTTCATGACAGTGAGATATATCTGCTCCTGACAGCACTGATCTATTTCAAAAAAAGTATAGTGGGCATCAAAGAACTTCTATATGGAGTTTGCTTTCTTAATGGCAAAAGTTAGCCATTTGGGTAAAGAAACTTTCCTTTCCTCAATTGCTGACAGTATACTGTCCAAACTAAACCAGTAGGATGCAAAAGAAAGTGACTGCCAAACTTTGCCAAGATAAGGTAGGACAATCTATCAAAATTCCCTGCTTCTCAAAAATGTCTGTCAGATATACTAGGCCTGTAGGCCAAAGTTGGATGTCTCAATATTACATAAGAATTTTGGTGACTGTCCAGGCAACCAGATATCCCTGTCAGTAGGTAACATTACACACTTCTGAGGTCTTTGATGGAGCTAAAGACTAAATAATTAGAATTAAAGTTTTACTTAGTTATGATAAAAGGTAAATTGGATATAAAACTTTAGACTCACAAAGATAAGATAGATAATAGACTATTTTCTCTAATTTTACCAAATACAAATGGACTGGATATTGTAACTATAATTCTTACTTGACTACTATTTTTATTATATATAGTTTTACTATGTTAAAGTCAAAACCTTCCTTTTTAATTAGACAAAAAGGGGGAAATTATGTGGAACAATCTTTTTGTACAATACAAATGTATTACTCTCATTGGTTAATAATAAACTGCCAATAGGTAGGTAGAACTTTGGGGCCAGAGGAATACTGGAAAGAAAGATGGAGTCTCCAGGGTTGGGAGGAGACATGGAGAGAAGCAAGATGAACTTGCCATGTTGAAAAAAGGAGCCACCACGTGGCAGAGTATAAATAAAAAATATGGGTTACATTTACAATGAAAGAGTTAGTTAGTATTAGCTGAGCATTTATAATTAGTGTTAAGTCTCAGTGTGATTATTTGGGAGCTGGCTGGCAGGACAGGAAAAGTCCACCTACAGCTTTGTGTTTTTCTCAAAAAATGAATCAGTTGTATTGGTGTGGCTTTATTGGGGGAAGCATATTTTGTTCTGTTTATTTATACATTTGTTTTTCCTTTTTTGGTTTTTGTTTTATTTTGTTCTTTGAAACAGGATCTTATGTAGCCCAAATTAGCCTTGAACTCTATATGTAAGCAAGGTTCACCTTGAACAAGATCTGATCTTCCTGCCTATACCTTTCAATGACAGGTATGCAAGATGACTCATGCATCAGTTTGTTCTGTAGGACCATGCTTATTTGACTACTTTAGATTAGGATCTTAAAATTATTCTTTATGAATCCTCCAAACTTTTTAAATTCCTTATCAAAATTGTGGTGATTATTCTAGTTATGTCTATATATTTAAAGTCAGTGTTTCAAAGTCCTTGAAATGATTTGAATGGGTTTATTTGAGATTGTAGACCATAGATAAAATTGGAGAAATTTGATATCTTAACAAGCATGAGTCTACCCACTCACAAACATAGAATACCTCCTCATTTATTGAGCAATTTTATTTCCTTTGGAGTTTGTAGTTTCCCACATACAGATCATATATATTTATTTCTAAACTTCTTTAGTGTTTTGGTTCTATTGTAAATTGTACTTCTAAATGTTAAATTCTAATTATTCATTGTTAATATGTAAGAAACAATTAACTTCATTTTTTCTTTATTGAGAAATTTTTTTATTAATTTTATATACCAACCACAGATCCCCTTCTCTTCCCTCCTCCTGCCCCCACCTCAGCCTTCCCCTCCCAATCCACCCCCATTCCCTCCTCAAAAGGTAAGGCCTCCCATGGGGAGTCAGTAGAGCCTGGTACATTCAGATGAGGCAGATCCAAGCCCCTCCCCCTATATCAAGGCTGTACAAGGTGTCCCACCATAGGGAATGGGCCCCCAAAAGCCAGCTCATGCACCAGGGATGGATCCTGATCCTACTGCCAGGGGCCCCTTCAGCAGATCAAGCTACACAACTGTCTTGCTTATGCAGAGGACCTAGTCCAGTCCCATGGT